TAGAAACTAAATTTTGGTACCTTATATTTGAACGATTAATTCTTCAGCATTGTAGGACACCTAGATATCAAAGGTCGCCAAAAACTTAAAAGTTGCAGGAAAATATGATAAATTTTTGATAAAAATAGAAAGACAATATTTAGTAAAAAATAGAACATTATAAAAAAATTACTACCATAGAAATCGATAAATAATTTTATTTCTACTATTCTCCGCGTACTTAGATCCGCTCCAAATATAGCGAGTTAATTTTTGTTCAGGGAGTTTTCGATCAATTTAAAATTAATAATTTTTCCCAGCAAAAATATATAGAAATTTTAATTTCCGATATAATGTGTAGCGATAATAACTTCTCGGTGATGAGAAATGCAACACATAAAATATACCATAAAACTTAATATTCCACTCAACGTAAAATTGCGCGATTTTTGGAAAATCTTGTATAATTCCATTTTATACAAGTGAGGTTGCCTATCAAGAAGATTGTACGTATATGTTAATTTCGAAATTTCTACGTATTCGCGTTCTAATGTTCTCATGAATGTAAAATAGATTCAGACCTTAATACAACGCTCGGGAGTGAACATACTATATCAAAATCGCTTGTAATTCTGCTTAAGCACGTTTCTCTCAATGCGCCGACAAATGCGTAACGATCTGAATCATCTTCCACCAATTCGCTCCTGAATTTTCATTAGGTTTTGTTCTTGCAGGATATTTTAACATTTCTCTCTTTTGTCATTTACAGATTTAAATATACATATGTATATTACGAGTAAAAATACGCGATATTAAAATATATTATTGTTGGAAAATATTTGGTTATGATATACATAAAGTTTCTGTATTAAATTCTTTTCATCGTAACATTGAATAAAATATTTATTAGTAGCTTGCATTGTTATAACGTGATGTCATTCAGTCACGTCATGCACAATATTTCTATTTATATGCGTTTAATTAAATTCTACAATAATGTTTTTCGTAAAATTAAGTCAAATACAAGTACAATTCAAATACAAATTTTAATCAAAAATTAATTTTTTTAACATATTTAATTCTATATAAATAAATCTTTTATATCTATATGTATCTCTTTAAGAGAAGAGATTTTTTTTAACAGATGCGTTTGTTGTTTATTAAAGTGAAATCTATGCCCGAATTAAATGATAAATACGTATGAATTATTACTTTCTTTTTTTTAACTGTAGAAACGCATTATAGTTAATTGGTACAATTCTTGCAATTTTTGGGACATATGGAAGATAGCCATCAAAAATTTGTATACGTGGTAGTATATCATTCCAACTTTAAAATTGACTTCCGATAAGCGGAGAACAAGATTGATGATTGAATGATGCGCGATGGCTGTCGAAATTTCTGGCAACTGTTGGCCATTTCAATCTGCAAAATTCAAGGATCAAGTTATATCGCCCAATATTCCAGCCATCAATTGTAGGTGAATGCGTGGATATTAAATTCTTTAAAAATGTTTCGCAGTGAAAATAAAACCAAAATCTTTACAATTAAATTAATTGCGCGTGGTTTGTTCGCAATCATTTGTGAAAAAAATAATTCCTTGTATTTTTAAAGGTTCTTTTATTTCGAAATCAACCTGTTTTTATATTTCGAAGAAAACATAGTGAGCAAAATGGTTTTTATTGTCCATTTCCACGCATCAAATCTTTGTCCACATATTGCGAACGCGTTTATATTGCTTTCTTACAGCTGAGTCGGAATAATTTTATGAGAGTTTATCAATTGATTTACTCTTCGTATAGATGTCCTATTCGTGTTGTAAGTCCTTTTGTTCTCGTTTCATAACCATTGCCAGTCTTATTGCGTTTCTATCTTTTCTTTCTCTCCGCTGGTGCTTTAACTTTTCTCTTCCGTCTATTCCCAGCGCTCCTCCGTCAAATATTTAAAGGTTTCCTCTTTTTCACCGAGTTGCTGTAAATGTATCACATCTATTTTTCAACAGACAGCCAGCGTAGAAAACTTGCTACTATTGTTTTCTCTTATTCTTTGCTCTAATTGCGTTTTATTGTTTTCCTGCACGATTCCGATCAGTATTTTTTGAATTCACGTATATTATTAACGAATTTTGCGCAAAACGTCTGCAAAAAGTATTTGCACGGATGATCTGTGAAGGTTCCATTTCTACCACGTAGTCTTCCATCGATCATGCTGGAGATTCGTTACGATTGGCAGAGACATAATATCTACGGATCGCCTTCTTTATTAGCAGCACTCGAATCCAGGCGGAGAATCTTTCATAGTAAGGCGAAGCTATCCGCACCCCGGACGGGATATGAATTTCATATTTTACGATAATATCGCGGGATGTTCGTAGGGTAAACGAATCTCGCTCCGGTGCAGTTTCCACATGCTCATGGGAAATCGTATCTGCACTTGAATTTTCCTGAACGTTATTTCCCTTGGTCGTTTATATCAAGTTTCCTATACAGCAGCACCGCGTTAAAATTTGTACCAATAGAACCGAATTGATAAATTGATATCCAAATATGTACTTGTGTAATCGAAATCATGGACAAAAGAAACTCGATACAAACAGGTAGATATCATTTACGTCACAGTAAAAGTTTTATCGCGTAATTCTTTTGCGATCGGACGGTTGCGCGTCGTGTTACTTTTTACTCTACTCTCATTAAAAGTCCATTCCATTTTCAGAAAAAGTTCGAGAAAAAGGTACAAATCATAAATTATAAATTTTACAACAATAAACGTTAACAAAGCTTTCATTAGCTGGAAGAAAATAAAATTGAAAATATTCTGTACGCGGAAAGATGCGATATCGCGTAATTTTACTTATATCGTAAAAGTGATTCAAAAATGTTTAATATTATTTTGAATAATATATTTGATTTATTGAATTAAATTTTTAATTATATTTAACAGTTTTAAATCACTTTTTTCTCAAATTCAAATTTTTAGTATAAAATTTTTTTTTCTGTTTTATAAAATATCTCTAATATTAAATATCAGTTCATAAATTCGTACTCGCATTGAGCCAGAAATGGTGTTCCTTCGGAAACGGCGCGTAGTTCTATCAATTTGTGCATCTTGTTTGATACTATTCATAAATGGAATGTGGCAACGTAACTGGGATTCGATTAATCGTTCTATCGTTTCACGAGTCGTCGGTTTATCGTCGCCTCGAGCGGAGCTTAGGAGACTCCACGGTTATTCTCTTCGCTTGACTTACTAGCAATAGCTTCCGGTTTCATCTGAAGTACGTTGGCTTCAAGTGCTTTGCTGTATAAAGTACACATACGAAACGTTGTAGTTAAGAACGTGAGAATAATCGGAAAGTTCAAGTTGAGAAGGGTACTACAACACATCGTTGAAATGAATTAATCAAAAATCTCAGAACATTTGATATATTTATATCGTAGCATTACAATATTAATATTGATACAAATCATTATTAAAAATTGGATTGGTAATTTTACTAGGCTAAATGTATTTTAAATAGATAACACACGATGTACGTGTGGATTTTACGCGTTTTTTAATTTTCTTTTAATGAATACAATTAATTTATCTGTATGTGCCTAAAGAATATCAGAATTGAGATTAAAATAATGCAAAAATCTACTTAATTTAACTTTTCGCTGTTTAAACATATCGAATAATTTCTCGATAAATGTCGAACTAAATGTAACATTGAATATGATAACAAACTCTAATTATTTTAATTTTGGCACAAGCTAGTCTAAATACAATGAACCACGACCTGCCAATTAGCATGCGACAAAATGCGCTGCGATAATTTTCCAACTTTTGATACTTGGAAATTAACCGCGGAAGTCATTACACGCATAGTTTCAAACGATCCACTTCGAATTGCCATATTTTAATTAAATAAACACGAACGACGCGACATTTTTAATGTGATCAACGACTCTCATAATTTGCTGTTATTGTATGCAACGTATGTATGTATAATGACGTGAGTAAGCAAGGATATTTTTCGTTCAAACACGTAAAATTTATAGAAGGTTTTTTTTTTTTTTAATTTTTCTGAGTGAAGCATACAGTGAACATTTAATATCTTCGACAGACTCTGATAGTTTAGTGATAAAGTTGGAGTGCTTTGTAAATTGACGATCCGTTTCCAGCGCATCCAATTTTTCTAGAAGTATTTGTGCAACGAACGCGACTTGAAATATTATGCATGTAATATATATGCACAGTAATATGTATCACTGCTATAAATATCAGACTAGCAGCAAATTAAAACCAAGTAATATTATAAAAATATTTTTTATGCATTATAATATTTGAGTATAACATTTAGCATGTAGCATGTATAGGTTTCAAAAATAATGTTATGTTCCAAAAAAAAATGATTTCTAATAGGTATTCACAAATAATGATTTTATTAACTATCGGATTTGTCAGCTCCATTCTATCGGAGATAGATTCGATTCACGTTTAGAATTCTTCGAAAATTGGATTACTTCAACATGTTCTATTTCACGTTTGAAGTATCGCGACGATTAGTGAATTTCCAATACAAAGTTTACTTTATTACTTCACACAGGTCCGCTATCCGCGACGGCAATAGCCGCTACTGTTCACAGACACTTCATTTTGCAGCAGAACAAACAAGCTTTTAATCACAGTTTCAGTTTGCAGCTATTGTCTTTGTATTGAAACGCGCCCCGCGTTTACCCGATTCGCGCGTTACCGCGACAAAATCAATATCCTCGTATTGCGCTTAATATTTTTCCACGGTTACGCGTCCGTAACTGCCTTCTGAGGATGGCGCCGGGATTACGCAACACACGTACCCTATTGTATTCCGTAGAAGCGCATAAAGCTGGCGACATAACAGGCTCCTCATTGGCGCTTGAATATTGGATAAGTTCGGCGGCGAGCGCGAGGAAACGGCGCGATTACTACGTCCGCCCCGTACCGCCGGGAGCTTCAGTTTCGTCGACAATGACTATAAGAGAGAAATTATTATGTTTCAGCTCTGCCTGGCGGAAGACCCGTTATTGCATCAGAACGCGATCGCTACGACCCGGGAGACATGTTGAGGGCAAATTGCAGCCTGCCACCATCGAAGCCGCCAGTTCACCTCTCATTCACGCTCAACAACATACCGGTAAGTGATGCCTATCGACACGATTGTCGTATTATCGAATCAAAGAGAGAGTGAAAGAGAAAGAGAATGAGAGATATGTATAGGGGAAGGTGTTAGCAATTGAATTCTGGCAATATTTGCGGTTGTATGCGGGACACTTCACTCCTACATATCTGACTCTTTTCTCGTAAAGTATTATTATATTTGCGCGAGCGAGATTGAAACACGCGTAAAATCTCTTAAAACAAAAAAAACTAAACTTTATTAATTTGTTAATTAATTTAATCTATATTATAATAGATAGATACAGCTTGAAAATATTGTGAGAACTTTTTAAGCGAATATTTCATACATAATTTTATGCATTATCAGCCGGTGGTAATTTATAAGATAAAATTTTTCTGTCGATGTCAGTTTTACGTTATCTTTTACATTTGCATATTACGGTCGGCGATACATTCATCTGACAGCAGATTAGCGCCAAATGTGGCCAAAACGTAAAAGTGTTGAAATGTACGTGTTATAAAAACTTCGTGTCGTAGATGCTCTACCTTCTTTTTATCAAACGGTCCATTTAACAGCTGCACCCTTTTAGCCTCATACTACTCAATCGGAATCCGCTTTTCTCACATTTTCTCGCTTGAAATGAGTCGTTTTATAAAAATTGTTAAATCGCGGACTATTTGCTCTTACCACCCCATGAAACTTGTAAGCCTCATTGAAAGTGCACGGATTTCGATATCGATTTTCAATTTACCGAATATATGTATCTACATTGCTACGCTATTATCATCGCCGCCAATGTTTATTGTAGCAGAAAACTCCTCTAACCGTTCGGAAAGAAGATCGCTTCCGCGAGTTACTGTTTTTCCTTTATCACCGAATCACGCGCTCGGAACGCGCTCCATTTATGGTCAGCTTTCAACTGACGAGCACAAAATTTGCGCGGTCCTACTACAGGCACATTCTAGTGCTAAATTCAGTTTGAATTAATTCCGTCATAATAGCGTCGGAAAACGTTGGCGGGATCCGCGAGGAGCGAATTGACAGACCTTAAAGAGATTAAACGAATCCTTTGTTCTCGCGAAAGTGTGTAGTAATGTGCGTGTCGACTGTTTGCTTTCTGGACTATTCAGTTCTTATACCGAATTGAATCTAATTTCGCGCGCGGAATTAGAACACGGATGATTAAACCTTACCCGGACGCTGCGTGGCGTCGTCTCCGAAGTAAGAGGTTTTATCAAGCGCGTCCGTGGGATAAGGAAATTTGAATAATCGGATAATCCGAGCAAAAGCCGCCAGCAGCACCGAACGAAATACTAATAACCGTGATACGAGCAAAAATGTTGTCGAGTAACTTTTGCCGAGCTAGACATGCCGGCGGAAGCACGTAGCCTCTGGCGATGCATTACCCATAATCCCCGGGGATGACGTCGCGGGATCTCATTAGCCGATACGGCTAAATGCAAAATGCAAGAGTGGTTCATACTCGATCGTTCGCGTGAATCCCGAATTCGTCACCGACTTTGATCGAGCAGGAGCGCCGCGCCAAGTGCGCGACGTGTCTCGTCCTGGTGTCAGCGATGCTATTTCCACAACAGTGCAGTAGCACCTTTATTCTATCACCGTATCATTTTACTCTTGACTGGTTGCATTAAGATTGTTGAATTTGTAATGTTTAACTTGAAATATTGTGGATAATAGAAAACCATTTTAGTTTCTTTTCCAGCGTTTTCATGAAATTACTGATCAAATTGACTTGACGTTCATTATGAATACTATTAACCAATATCAAATATATCGAGTTAGTTTTTAGAAGGATTATTCTATCGGGCAAATTCGATAATTTGAAAGTAAACTCTCTGCAAATTGTTAGAATTTCTATCTTTAACTTGCTTCAATTTTAATGCCATTTTCCCGTCATTTAAACATTTGCTCGTCTAATATATTAACCTTAAGCAATTTTGCTCTAGATAATCGTTGATAGCGAATCGTAAATTTTCCCGCAAAGTTGTAACGATATTATCTCCCATCCGACGACGTGATAGTAAGAAGCCGGGAAAATACGAATTCGACGGTGATCAAGCGCGCGCTTTCTTTCTCCGTGGGATCTGGAAAATTAGTATCGCATATATACGTAAGTGCGAGTAACGAAGGAGCGGTGTCGGCGGGAGGGGGTGGCGAGGGGTAGTAACGAATTGCCCAGGTCAGGAACAAGCGGGTCGGTCTGCTAGCTTCTTACGGCTAACGTCTTGTCGAGAAACTCGTCGAATTTGCAGGGAACGTTTCTGAGAGCGTGGAAGATATCTTGTCGCGGAAACAACGGTTTCTTACGACGAGGGCGTTGCCAGTACAAGTTTACTCGCGCCGGAAAAAGTAGTTTACTTTCAGGAAAAACTACATCCAGGCGGTTGATCTCTTTCTGAGAAGATTTATTCGCCTCTAGAATCTTTTTAATTGTAAATTATCATGCAGCTTCACTAATTAATAATTTTAAGACCGCGGAATAAAAATACGATTTGCTCATTTCTCGACACGCATATAATTTATATTAACTTATCCTAACAAATAACTTGGACTGAAAAATTGAAGCATAAAATAATGTTTGTTAATATTGAAAATTATCCACAATCTTGTTTCATAATTTTGTAGCGTTATACACAATCAAAAATTAAATGTACATTAAAATGCGCATATCAGAATCATTAATAATTACCGTGATACATTTAATATAAATAATGTATATTTGCAACGCAGAATGTATATTTGCGACATCGAATACGCGGACATTAAAGGACATATTATCAACAAAATATCGCAGTCACGGAAGTAATAAAATGACGATACGGCTCTTCCTGCCGATAAGCGCATTCCAAATTAGGATTTTAGATAAATTTAAATTGATAAGCGACTGCAATTAATATGCTTTGTGCTTATCAATTTCCATATTTTGCGTATAGGACATCATACAAACATGTATATCGCGCCAGGATATCTTCAATAATATTGTTAAATTGATAAATTGCATTTTAAATGACACAGCACGCTGTAAAAGAGACAAACGATTAAATTCTGATCTAAAATTGCGAATATTATTATCATCAAAATGGAACATTGAAACATACTCTCTTATATATTCGTATATATCGTATATAATAAATCTCCCTTAACTCTAGCAATTCTAAGCGCGTCAAAAAATAAGCTTTCAATTACAATTGTCCGCGCAACGCGTTCACATTTTGTACAGTAACGTTATTCAATATTATTATAGTTAGCATTTACATCGTACATTTGCAGCCTGATATTTGTAATCTGCAATATCGCTGTTACAAATATGAATAAATTTTATGCTACTGACGCGCGGCGCTCTTACGCAGATATCAATATGCAGTCGTTATCCTTTAATGCCCCCATAGCCCGATGTCGTAAGCGGCGCTAGGTCACGCGCGACCCCGCTTATCCTACATCCGCGATGCGCACGTATGAAGCGACGAGAACTAGGCTGTTTAGGCATTCTCGTCTTGCGCATAAACTGGTATCGTCCCGGAAGAGAAAAGAGGTGCAAGGAGCGCACCGTCTTACCGACATACACGCCGAGATATGAACGCTAGTGATGAACAGTGCCGTAATGTTAATGTCGATATAATAACGTACATACGCTGTTTATCAAAAAAATTGACGCACTTTAAAACAAACTTCCCATCCAATGGAACTTTGCATATGCTATGTTGATGCGCTAATGAAGTGATAACAATATCATATTATAAGAGAGAGAACAATTTATTTAAGAAAATCTGTTTTTAATTGTTAATATTTTGTAAAGTCAAATGTCACGGATTTTTAGAATTATTTTATTTGGGTTTTTTTTTTTTTTTTTTTAATAAACAGTGTACTTTTGTAAGTCACTGATTCATAGACGTGTCTAATTATTTCTTTTGTAAAAAATAAATATCAGATAAATGATTCCGAGCTCAATTCCGAGAGCTTTCAAATGAAACTTATTTATCAGTTTGCTGCGATTTTTCTGTGCGAAGATATTGACGATTGTATCAATTGTAGCGATCATATCTCGAGCGATTCCAATCTAAAGTAGAACCGATTGAAGACATTCGCGTGACTTTTGTTCGAGATATTATCTCTATTATATCTTTCTCTTCTTCCGCTATCACTCATATTTTTCGTATTGCTTATACGAGATTCTCACGCCCACGAAGAACAACCTATCGGAATAGTATGTATTATCCGATGAGTGAGATTTATTATGGTTTTATGCGTCGCGTATATAACCGCACAGGCAAGCTTGGCAAATTACAATCTCTCTGAAATATCTGTTCGTGTATTATATTTTTTGCTCGAGCTTGTAATGATGTTTTTAACAAATTTGTTGTTGAGTATTTTTGCAGGAGGATTAATATCCGTTCTCTTTACAATTTTATAGTTTCTACTTCAGCTTTCAGCTTAGATCCAGCTTTTATTTGGTATGTTTATTTGTGTTTTTCATGTTTACAACTGAAATAAAATGGCAAACATTGATGGCGTTTAAGATAAAATATAATAAAAAATTTCGATTGGAGATTATTTTAACGACGGAATGATTATATGGTAAAATTTATCGTTAGTTAAAAAAATACTTACTATTTTAAAGAGTTTTGGAGTAACTATTTCATTATCTAAAAATTTCACTGTTAATATTGCGGATATTTAAAAAAATTATTTTATCAATTTTATATAATCTCAATTACAATTTATTTAATTTCAATTGGATTGAGAGATAAATACGTAGCTTGGATATCGCGACGTATAGTGCAAACGTTCTTTTTCTATTATTTTTGTACATCACCAATTTTGTTCCCTCCTCAGTTAGGAAAAGTCGTGACTTGTTCGCTTCTTATCGGAAGTAGCGCTGAATTTATTTCACCGCGGCGAAACCGAGTTCGAGGTTACTTGTGCAAACAGAGTCTTCGGCAACGTCTCCTCTAGTTGTGTCCTTAATCAACTTATAACCCATGATAACTTTTGCC